CCTAAGGCCATCTGGTAAGCAAGTTAATTATTGAGTTGATTAACGTGGAAGTGTAATTACTAGTGTGATCTATGTAATTTATCGTCGTCGAAAAAAATTCATTTTGCGAGTTGATTATATGGTAGTACAGAATCCTTAATCGTAACGATATAGCGGAACAATTTGAATGACAGGTCTTGTATAATATACGTATACGTTTACACAGAAATTGTGTGTGATACTTATAATGATGAAAGAGTTGCGCGATATTAAAATAGAAACACGCTCTATTTACAGCCGTAAACATTATTGAGCAGAATATTGTTAATTCCAACAGATGTCTGAACAAACTATTTTTTAATGCGCGAAATAAAGGTAATATCAATTAGATGAAAATGTGTAATTAAGTAACATAATATTACATAAAAAAGCAATATATTGATCTCTTTGTAACTTGTGAATAATTGCAATTTCTACGATACGTTAGATTACAAAAATTTTCGCGTATGATAACACTTTAGAAATTAGTTCGAGGAAACGCGTGAACGTTTTCATTAAATTCCGCGGAAAGAAATCCGCATTGCGAAACAGAAGGAAGATCGATCGTGACATCGGGCTTTCAAAGAACGATCAGTTACCTCCTCGATCAAAGCCGCACGACATTCCGGTGCTTAAGAAATCCCGGTCCCGGGGTTTACTTTTTCCCCGCGAGTGCCTTTTGTGCCCGAGATTCAGCAAAAACCGGCCGCCCTTATAAGAGCGGCGGAGTTAATTAAGGCGCATTTAAAGTCGGTAGATCGCGATAAGACGGCGATTAACTCAAAATTAGTCCGCCCATGGATCTAGCAAAAACTGTATCGCTGTCGTTATTGCCGACACGTATCGACGGTGTAGATAAATACGTGATTGAGACGATGCCCAATTAGATCCGGGGCATGAGGTGAATTATTACATCACCGCCATTCCTTTAGAATCCATTCGTAAATCGCAAAAAACTCTTAAACACAATGACTCGTACTCTCATTGTATTCCTATCGACCTATTGACGCTATTTTATTCTCATCTCAATTCGCATACATTAATTGCGATCCACATTGTCAGAGAATTAAAACTCCAAGTCAAACTGTTCAATTTTTAACAAGTCATAAATTCTAAGTTAAAATACTAGTTAACATTGTATTGAAATATATTAAATTAAATCTTTAAAGAATAAATTAATGTTTAAATATTTAATTTCCAGGAAATTTATTTGTCGAGCGTTATGCAATTTGCACGCTTATGAACAAATAATTACGCTCTTTCCGTTTGAAAATGACTCCCTATAAGTTGACACTTTCGACCTTAGCAAATATTCATAGTTGGAACACAATTACGTGAAAAGCCCGCGTGCGATACAAGCGCGGAATAGCGGAAAAACGTTACTGCGCGCAGCACCGGCCGAGTTTCTAGTTGGCCGATATGCAAAATACCTGCCGGGGTAGCGATAACGCGCATTACTCGACTTTCTTGTGGTGGCGAATAAATAGCGAATTACCATTTAGTCGTCGGACGATAAAGTGAAACGAGCCCGCGCGATAACAGAATCTCATTCTCCCAGCAAGTCTATAGACTATCGGCTTGTTATCGAGTAATTAACAAGATAGCGCGATTAACAAATTACATACGCGCGTAACGCAATGTATAACGGAGACGCGCAATATTAATTATCATGAGCGAATAAAATGACAAATATTATTCGACTTAAGTCGCGCAGCCAGAAGTTGCAGTGTAAAGGTTTTATTTTATTAATAAATAATTTATTTTGTTGAGCAATAAGATTTTAGCTCTATATTATGTGTATTTATAATATATATATTTAATAAGTATATATAAATATAATATTGATATTCTTAATTAATTTATTTATTTAAAGGTAAAACTGGAATTTAACTCTAACTGGAAATAAACTCTTACATTTTACTTTACTCACTTTGCGTTACTAGACAACAACTTGTTAATTTTTACCATGTTTCTATACATTGTTATAAACGGTTCGTCACACATCGGACCGATCAAGTTTACGAGGCACGCAAGATAAATTACGTTGGGCATAAGCACCTGAGTACAGATAAGCGTATGAAATGAGTACAATACAATTTTACGACATTTTCGAGTTATTTTGTCATCGAAAAAAAAAACCAAACCACACAATTTATCGCTACAATGTCGCGCGGATATTATTAGCGTATTTACACACACTTTGTAAGCAAACATTTAAAAATGGATATAAATAATTGTTCACGTGCACACGCATAGATAAGCGGGCTTAAATAGTTGGCTTAATAATTTCAGTACAGTTAGTAAAAATATTTTAAAATTACCTTTACCGGAATAATTGCCGTTGAAGTTGATGAAAAAATATTTCTTTTTAAGCTAAAGACGCAAATTGTTTTTGGTTAGGGAATTGACAATTGAAATATAAAATGCAGTGCAAGATATTCAAGATGCATAGTTCCGAGACTGCAAATGCTGGCTTTTCTATTTAACGATGGGGGTGAGACGGCATGTACACGGGCCGGTTTATCGCCGCCATATTATGATCCAGTCTGGTCGATTAAACGCTATAAATGGCCATGACAGAAGGTGTAATAGAATTGGGGTAACTCCGGGCCAATGGCGCTCCGCGATTAGGGTGGTTGTTCGTGCTCGATTGGCTTTCACGAGGGAGGGTTGATGTTCCCCGGGGGTAAGCTACGTCTTTATCCTTCCATCGATTCGCGTTATCCCATTACAGAAACGACCCACCCTCGCGTTTAAAATTTCATCGTCCTGGAAACGTTACAGCTCCGTTCTCACTAATTCTCTATTCAAATTAGTGACTAGCATAATTGCATAGAATTATAAAACTTTCATCGTTAATGGGGACGCGCCGGAAATCTCCTTTAATCCTCCAAAAGTTACGACGTATTCGTGAAAAATACGGAGACTTTTCTCAACGGAGTAATGATATGTCATTTCTTGTTGCTTCATTAACATATTTAGCTAAAATTTTCGAAAACTAATTAAAATGTATATTCTATTGATTTGATTTAGAATTATGAAAAAAAAATGTATTAGTTTGATTAATAGACAAACAGTTAAAAAACAATAACTTAAATGTGCCTGATAAATTTTCTAACTGAAATTAAATACGTTAAGGACAAAAAATAAAACATTCCGCGCTACTAAAATTATCCAGTACATGCTATATGACTGACGGCGCTGCTAAAGATATATGTAATCATTGGCCATGGTTTATAAGAGCACGACAAGCAATCTATGGTGTTCGAGTTACAAGTTTCGCAAGTTGATTAAGAAAATTAATAATCGAAGCGCGTAATTAATCTGACAAAGTCATCGGGATAATTGACATTTAATTTAATATAAACATTAAAAAATGAGTTGTGTAATATACGTATGTCATAATTTCTTTCATGAGTTTTTAATTTAATTAGAGCAATTATGTTAAATAATTTTTACAGCATATTGTCGAATAATTGACACGAAATACATATATTTCCAACACTTCTTATTGAATAAAGAATTAATTCTTCAATTAAATGTAAACTGTTGAAATTTATCCTTATATAAAAAACTACATGATGCATTAGTAAAATATTAAAACATCTTGCATCATACAAAAATTTTGGTAATTGTAAATCTTGTTCTGTTAATATTTCGAATTGTGAAATTTAGAACACCAGGATTTATTTTTTACGACAAAACTAAGCTCTTTTTAAGCAAAAAAACGAATACATATTTAATCATTAACTAAATACATGATAACTCATTGTGTTTTCTAAGCCGGAGGGACTGTCAAAAATTTCAACGTTGACTTCTACGGATTCATAAGGCGCAACAGCACGCGGCTAATTGCAAAAAACAAAGAGAACCCTGCCAATAATACGTGCCAGGCGGGTCGTAAATAATACCGCGAGGATTTTACGCGTGCGTATACGATGCCGCGATACCCGCTGATTGGTCAGACCGGTGGAGTCGCTAATTGTGTTTTATTAGCTCCTTCTCCCTCCGTTCACTCTCTTTCTCTATCCCCTCTCTCGGTGTTGAACATCTGTGGTCTTAGCTAACAAACCCGCCCATGTACTAACTACGAGCGACATTGTTATTAAGGGGCTCTACAATATCTAAAACCCACACACGCGGGTACGTATGTGCGACTACGCAAGGGTATCATGTCTTTGATTCTCGTTAAGAGCTGCTAAGATATTACGAAAGAACCCGCGGGAATCTGCGCTTTCACATCGGTTGTCGAGAGCAAAGAAGAAGCAGGAAATGTTCAAGTTGACGTTAACAGTGTAGTATGCGTATTCAATGAAGGAATTCTTTGAGAAATCTTCGTGAAATCTTAAAAGATATAGATATTTCA